TGCTGATGGATATTATTAAGGAATGAATATATTTTAAATAGTGATATGATATGAAATATGCGGTTAAAAAGTAAGAAAAAGTTACTGATGTGATGTAAAATATTATTTTATTGAAAAATGTGTGGTTGAAAATGCGTTTTGAAATAAGGTATTTTAAAAGAATGTGTGTCAAACAGGGGCCAAATAACCATCTATCATGCGTATATGACGTAGGACGATTATCGTAATGAGCGACTGCGAATAACATTATTAATTTTAACCACATATTTTATAGGATCCACAACTTTCCAAACACACATTCTATCAACTTTTATCAAAATCTGCTAAAACTATGGTTTTAAACTCTACGAAGGCATATTCTATTGATTTTTATATAGAAACATAGATTTTGCATAATAATTTAAGGGGAGCTGAACGATTAAATTCAAATAGATTAAAACACAGTCTATCTTCTCTCAACTAAATATCTCCTAAATAACTTTTAAAAATCCCCCATTACCTTTCTAAGCAGCGTTTGTTTTAAAAAAAACAAAGAGAGTCTTTGAGCACAAGTGTTTTCAAAAAAACAAAAAGTCTTTGAGCACAAGCAGTGTAGCCCACATTCAACTCCTGCATATATNGCTACGAAGTGTCATACCGTGTAATAATTTTGTATATCCAAGTAAACTGAGTTTTCTGTCACTCCTTATCCAATCTTTGAGCACAGATTGAGCGGTTTGGCCCACATTCAACTCCTGCATATATAGGGTAGAAACTGAAGACCTCTTTAATCAATATATGTATAAATCAAGAATTACCATCAAGCTATACAAAACTCGTAAAGCCATAAATGTAGATGCCTCTTGTTCGAAATACTCAAATGTCATAGATGTAATTTGCTCCCATTTGTCAAGGGCCTCCAATTGATACGTATTGGTTGCAATTGCGCAGAACTCTTCAAAGTCCATCTTCCTATAAGACAATGGTACCGTTTGAAAACTGAAAACAACGATCCTATTAAAAGTGTCAAGTTACTGTGATGAAAAAGAGAGAAAAAATCATAACAGTCTGAGATTGCATCTGTCCATTCTGTTTCGCGTGGAAATCGAGTTTCGCTAACAATCAGAAGATGGTTTAGACGATTGTAAGGAACAACAACATCTCGAGACAAAGTCCAAACGAGTGGTGTTTTATTGATGAAGATTACAATATGGACAAAACGAAATGCCTTCAAAGAGCACAAGCACATAAGGTAATTGAAGGTTAACTAGAAGAAAACAAATGAAATTACATAATTCTCTATTTGAGAGTCATTTTATCTTTTTCCACTTGTAAATTATTCTCTCTCTTTTATACTCTTTTGAGTGTTTCTCTTGTAAAGCCGTTTGAAATCTCCTGGAAACTGCCCATCGGCCTGTAACTACCCACTTTCTCCATCATGGATGACTTGTCAAGAAATTACCATTTTCAACCACTGCCATTACTCCCATCATTTAACTCCTTACAGCCGAGATTCTTGGATCATGGAATGTGATAAGATTACCCATTAACTGTTTCAATAACCGTTGCTCCGAATGGTAACCAAAACACTATATTCGCCTAGATCTTGGGCATCACACAGGTTTGAGCGATGACAGGCTCGCCCATATCTTGGGCGTTTCGTAGGCTTGAGCGAGGATGGGCCTCCATTGTCTTTGGTTTTTATATGGTCCCGTTTAGGTCCATCATTCGAATTTCTTAACTAGACTTTATTCTTTGAACCATTAATTGAGCTTCATTTTTTGTAGGTCAACAATTACTCCCAAATATGGCACATTAATATCAATCATTAATTTTTGCCATATTCTTCCTTCGTATTTTCTGGCAATACTTGGAATCCTGAATTTTTCAAAAAAGCTCAACTTCTCCTTCAAAGGCTCTAGCTTTACCGGCCTCTGTTCCACCATCTTCCACCAAAGCTACCTCATCCAAGTCATCTGACGAAGGGGCTTTGCCTAAGAAGAAGGCCATGGTCTCAGAGTCTTTGGTCGCGCAGCCAACCGGAGAACTTCCACCTTCCCAAGAAGTTGACCCCCCATGCCCTGAATGAGCATGTAATACATGTTTTGTGATTTTTTTTCCTTTGTATGTGTTATTAGCCTTTAATTCATTATCACTTGATTCTAGCAGAGACATCCCTAGAACTTCCCATCGTGGAAGAGTCTGCTCATTTGGACAAAGGGAAGTCTCCACAAGTGTCAACTAGTGATGTGCCTCAATTTTCCAAAACTAATGATAAGGTAGCCTTTGTTTTATCTTTCATTTTTACCTGTTCACTGTAATGAAGATGCTAAATACTTGCATGTTCCTTTACAGAATATTGATGACAATTCATGACGTGTTTACTTCCTGGGAACAAGTAAGGATAAGCGTAGCTTCTCGTTCCTTTTCGGACAATCGTCCTTCTGTTTCATCTGCTGCACTTTCAGAGGAAAACATGAACATTCTCAAGCAATCAGTGCTTGAATATGTTTTGTTCATGGATGTGAATATCAACAAGGCTAGTGCTTCTAGCCAAAGAGAAATTTTTGATCTTCTAAGTGCCAAAATAGCTTAAGCACTAAAGCTTCATTCGCTTACAATCATCCGACTTTAGGCTGACGTTGAAGATCATCCATTCAGAGATAAGCTCTTTGCTAGCCAGAAATGTTGAGTTAATGGCCCAAAAGACTTAGTATCTCCGTGTTGTAACAGAAAAAGAGTCTTTGCTTCAGGAGATTGAGAAGACCAAGAGCAACTTACATGAAATCTCCTCCGAAGTTATGGTTGAAGACTCTTTGATGTTGAGTCTGGCTGCAAAGATGAAGGCACTTCAAGCAAGAATGGATGACTATAAGGTAAGATTGGCTGCTAAGAAGCACATTATTTCCCATAAGGCTGAGCGAAGCAAACTTTGTTTGAGCGTTACTCAAAGCTGGAAGTTGACGAAGGGCATATGACCGAACTATCTACTGTTTCCAATGAGTAGCACGATGAATGGGAGAAGCTTAGAGAACAAATGCGTTCTCTTTGGGGTAAACCGTAATTATATTTTGAGCTTTCTTGTAGGACGATTACGTCTCACACTGGTTCTTTTAATTTTGTGATAACGGCCACTGTTAGCTACAATGTAATGACAACCAAGTTCATTAATGGAATAACCATTTTACTTACTTGTGTGATGGCCTTTGCATAGATTTCTGAAATAGCATGATCAACATCCCCAAACATTTAATTACTCACCTTGTGCTGTATTCATGCACATTTCCTATTGTGGGATCTTTATATGGAATAAAACTTTTGGTATTCCGATTTAGTTCTCCAAGATTTGGACCTTCAATT